CAAAAACTTCAACTCAGATAAGTATCTGTGTTTATCCAAAATTTTAAACTGGAGATTACACCAGAGCAAAAATAATACAAATATTCTGGATTTCCCATGTCACAAAAAGCAACTTTTCTTGCAATGTAGTGTCACCTCATTTAAACAGAAGGCCTAGAAATTATATCTAATCTTTCTCTTTGCAGCAATTTACCTCTTGACAGGATCAGTGCAATTTATTTCTGAGGCTCACAAATTGGTGTTTGTACTGTCTGTTATGTGTAAAGAGATCTTTTAAAATAACCAGAACTTCAGTTTCACTGAAGGAGTTCTCCTGATGCACTTCCTCAATTTTTTTGAGCCTACTTTTTTATGCCTACTTTGATGTCTCTTAGTAGTCTGGTTCAGTTCCCAGAAAGCACCAGAAGAATCCATGGTACCATGACATAGAACAGGGCAGGGAGAGTTTCTGGTAGCAATAATTATAAAAGAATTCAAGGGTGAAATTGCTGAATAACGTCTGATGATAATGTGTAACGATGATAATGTGTAACAGCTCATATAAAACTCCTTTTGTACCCAAGTACTGAAAGGTGGCAAATGGGTTTTTAAAACCTATTTCATGGAGAATTTAAGCTTTTGGGTGGCATATTTTTTGCCAGGCAAATTAATAGAAACCTCAATAAGAATAGTATAAGAGAGCTTCTCATATTGCAAAGTGCCTGTAAAGTGTCAATATAATTCCTTTTTAAAGATAAATCCTTCTTTACAAACCTGTTTGTAGAGGTCAACAAGCATGTGAATAAGGTTTTAATTGACATCTTTTCAATTGCTAAAAGACTTTTCACTAAATCCTTTGGCAAAGATTTTTAAGAAAACTAAATTTGTGTAAGAGTATCCCTGCCTGCCAAAAAGATACTTGAGAGGTAAGTGAGCTGAGGAAGTTTGGTGACGGTTAAGTTCTCCAAGGTAGTGAGGATAAAGAGAGGTCAAAACATTGTGAAAAACTCTAATGAGACTGAGAAGCCAGACAATACATGGTTGATAAAGTTCCAGCTGGATAAATGTAAAGCGATCCATGCGCAAGGAAAACTTCGGGTAGAAAGTAATTTGCTATGAATTGGCCATTAACACTTGGGAGTGAGATCTCAGGTTTATAGTAGGTTCCATCAAAACATCAGCTCAGAGTTCAGGACTGATCCACCCCGAGTATTGTATATGATTCCTGTCCATGTCTTCAAAATATTTGAATTAATTTGTTTAATTGTGATAGAATTGATAAGGGCAACAAGGATGCTCAAAGGAATTGAATGTTTTCCATGCACAGAATGACTGAGCAACACAGAGATGACCTGGGATGTGGTACAGGTCTTATAAAATTGAGGTGCATTAAGCTACATATAAATGAAAATAGTTGTTTCCTGACACAGCAGATTGTAGGTGTTAGAACTCACTGCAAAGAGTGGGGGCAAGATTTTACATCAGCTGAAGGGATGACTATGCAAGAGAAAGTCACTCTGATTTACTGAATACACAGAAAACACCTGTCTCTGGAAAATTTATGGTGGGAAAAATGTGTGGACCTTGTGAAAATATTTGGAGGAAATACCATATATGTTTTTGCCGCTCCTGCTCTTCTCTTGATAGCTACATATGATTGTTTTGGGGAATGAAACGATAGGCTAGATGGAGCTTCAGTAGAGTTGAGCTGTTCTATGCTTTTGTATTGTCTGTTGCTGCATTTGCATTTTTGGGGTGCTTTGAAAGTCATTGTTGCCAGTCTTAGTAATTGTAGAGTATTTCTCATGTTCACATGTTCTGAAATCAGGAAATAGAAGAATTAGTAGTAGATTACTGCTGAAACCTGTCCAGATTCTGTTAATCCTTGCTCAGGTGGTTTTAAGGAGACTTGTTGGAAAAAGATAGTATGTTCAACTTTATTGGAAAGACATTTTTAAATTTAACTTTTTATTAAATAAGTTGAGATAGGAGAACAAGACTAAAAGGCTGTTAAACCAGAGCACTGTGAATTGCTTTATTAATTCTTCCCATAGCATAAATAGTATAGTGCAGATTTTTATTTGCATTTGTGAGAGCTGTTAGCTTCTGTTGTTATTTTGTTTTAAAGAACTGGTTTTTAAATACCAGTGCTCCCTACTGGGCAAAGTATGCTGCGTCATTTCCTAATATATACCTCAACAAATTACTCTCACCCTCTTTCCTATTCCCTCCTTCCCTGCAACGAAGAGGATAATTTTGTGTGGTGATCTTGAGATCAGTTTACCCTGCAGCATTAATCTTCTAACAGAGAGATACTATTTTATTTTTCCAGCATGCTGTAATCCACCCCAGTTTCTGATATATTTAAAACTTATTAATTGTTAATGCTGCACTTCTTGAATTCTAATCATGACCAGGCTACATGCAGGGCTCCGATTTGGGAAGGATCATTAGCCATTCCCTGGGGGATCCTGAGCGGTACATTCTGGAGGCAGTGTGAGCTGTATTATTTGTGAGAGTTTGCCCTTGTGCTGCTACATCTGTTTGAAACTGGGACTTTTTTCATAGTCTGCATTGTGTGGTTTTGAACCGAATTGCCTAACGCTAGTGCTGTGGATTGTTATCTGGAATGCACAGAGGAATCATTGATCACTGCTGCCTTTTCCCTTTTTTTAAACGGGACTGCAGACACTATATTTGCTGTTTCTTTTCACCGATCTCAGACACTTCAGATGGTTGAGGTACTTTACAGCATTGCTCTCTTGTTCTAGATTACCTGATCTAACAATTACTGGTTAAGTTGTAAAGCAAAACATATCTTCCATTTAAAAAAAAAAAAAAAGCTATTCCCTAATGATACAGCAATCTTTTAATATATATTATAAGTGTAGTAATATATATCAACTGGCATATCTATTTTAAAGTGGATGCTCAAAAAACTTTTACTCTGCATGTATAATTGTGATATATTATGGAGGGTGATGCAATATATGGTAAAAGTCAGAAACAGAATTTTTTATTATATTTTAAGCTTTTAAACTTTAGACTGTCACTATATTCTAGAAACAGAGGAAAGAGGAAATATTTATTTTAGGGTTTTTTAGACTTTATCACATTAATTGTAACAACACTAATGTAATTTAGTAATTCAGTAGTTCATTCTAGACAAAGTGTTTTTACTTCTGTAGTTGTCTTAATATGGTACCCCTATGGCAATAGAATACGGTAATTAATGGCAAAAGCTGATAAAAATTGTATCATCTCTCCAGAAAGTTTGTTAGCAATTATATTTGCAAAACCATGCATTTGGTTTAAAAGGAATGTAGGAAGACACCTATATAACTGTAATCCAAAAAAAAAAAAAGTGTTTAATGTTAGGTAATAGATTATTGGAGAATGTAATCTTAGGCAGATATGATGCAGTCTGTTTTTCTTTAAATTTGTGTATTTGTGCATGTGCATATATCTGGAGAAAAATCCTCATTAGTGCAGGCTTCTCTGTATGTTTAAATGTGTAGAAAGGGAAAATTTCAGTCTTTTATCCTCAGGTTTAGAGAGTCTGGAAGCAGCTGATTTACTGTAATAATTGTTTCACTAATGAATCAACAACTTCAACTTTTCTCTCTTCCTTTTGTATTTCAGCTTAGTATCAAATATGTGATATGTACAATCTAAGATTAACCAGCTAGGTTTGGTTTCTTCAAATAGTACTGTACAGGAGAAAAAAAAAAATCACTCTAACTGCAAAGCAAGCTTCAGAAAAATATAACTTTATAACAAATTCAACTTTTTTCTCATGTGTTAGTTTAAAAACAAGGTTGGGAAATGAGCACTTATCTTTTCTTCTCCTGTTTTCCTGATTCTGAACTCCTGTTCAGAATCCATTTCCGATCTTAAATAACAATGGAGGACCACACGTGCACACATGCTCATAGGATAACGTGCGTTGAAAGAGACCTCAGAGGTCATCTGGTCTGACGTAGTACTCGGAGCAGGATCAGCTGTGAGATCAGATCAGATTCTCTGTTTTTTATGAGTTAGAAAAATATGCTTTAATCTTTTTTCAGTCAGGAAATTAATTTTAATCTGTATCCATGCCACATCAGGAAAAATTACATGCTGAATTGAGGCCTCGATGCAGTAGCAGTTATGAACTCTTTTTCCTTAACATCCAATGGTGTTCCCCAGCTCCTGCAGTGTTAACAGCAGAGCTCTCTGCAATCCTGGCAGTATTGCAAACAGGTGACCAACAGGAGTTTTGGTGTTTAGCAAAGTTATAATTAGTTGCCAGTTCCTGAAAATGTTTGGTCAAATTTAGGGTTAATGTATTTGGTGCTTCACTTATCTCAGATTTTTCAGTGTCAATCTGTTTTCTGAAGCTTGGTAACTTTGATACCATTTCCTGGTGCAGACACTCCCTGTATGTTCCTCTGAACTTCACCCAACCCGTGGGCTCTGTCACTCATCAGTTTGAGTGTTTGGGGATTGTGACATTTTTTTCCCAGCAAGTGATGCTTCTAATGGAGCCTGCAGAGGACCTCATTTCACAAAGAGGTCTCCAGGAGAGAATATTTTCCAAATAAGTGCTAATAACTATCACTGACCAGAAAAACAAGTAGAGATAAATGACAGTGATTTGTTAGGGGGCAAAAGTGCTTTATCATAATGTGTCTGTTGGATCAACAGGTGATAGGGGAAGGCTTTCAGGGGAGCTCTTTGCAATTCGGAAGCAATAGTGGGGCCCTGCAGCACTCAGGATGTGCAGGGTTAGGGGAGTAACTCTTTAGTAGCTTGGAGATGGCAGCAACAATGGAGCTGCTTTTTCTTCACAAGCTCTGGCAGGCTATCAATTCCCTAACCTGTGTTAAATCTAATTATTAGGAGTGCTGAAATTTTACATCCTCCTGTTTATCTCAAAAAAGTAAAGAAAAGGCTTCCAGCAGAAAGTGTTACTTTTGCTTTTTCTTCTGTAGTGTGTATTGCCCTAAAAATTTGTAAATTGATAATTGTTTGTTCTCCAGATGGATCCTGTGCAAAAAGCAGTCATAAACCATACATTTGGAGTGTCCATTCCCCCAAAGAAGAAACAAGTAATTTCCTGTAATGTCTGCCAGCTTCGCTTTAACTCTGATGTGAGTATTGGCTATTTTGTTCCTTTATTTTTTTCTGGTACAATAAGTATAATTAATCTAAACCTCTTTTTCTCAAACAAATCATTCCCGTTCTGCCTGCATTCTGTTCACCCTGCTGGGCTGATCTTTTGTCCACTCAGAGGTGGAACTCCATAGAGGTACATTGCTCTTTGATTGTCTTGGATGATGCTGGCACAATATCCAATGCCACATCCATTGATCATATCCCATTTGACAGTCTAATAACCTTCAAGAGGTACTGCAAAAGGAAATCTTTAAAAAAAAAAAAAGGGGGGGGGGATAGGGCAGACAGAGAAGCTTCCCTGGGAGTTCTCTTCGTGTCATACCTGCTCTTCTTCCAGAAGAAAGATCTGTTTTTTCCTGTTGTTCCTACATCCTTTCTGAATAGTATGTCTTCTGATTTCTTCTGGTAACTTTCATTTGTAATAAATATGAACATTTACTTTTAGCTGTCTTTTTGAGTATGATAAATTTCAAGGAAACTGTTTTCTGCGGCATAATTTAAAAAATGCATTCCAAAAGAGTACATTGATACATTTAAACATATATCCAATTGATGTTTTTCCTGGGTAGCTTGAAAGTTAGAGAAATTCAAGAAAAGTATGTCTAAGAAAATTGTGACCTTCAACAACCAGTTTTACTTTCTTGTCTAGGCTGGTAAGGATTTTGAAGCATTGCTATCTTACCTTCAAATAGATTTCTAAATCTATCATATTTTGACAAGCTTATTAAACTTTCTTTGAAGTGGCAATATCTACTTAGTTAACCAATTTCAAAAGTCATTATTTAAAATTTAATTCACTTGTCTTTCTTACTTAAGGTTAAGATTTAAGGTTAAAAAAAAAAAAAACAACCAACCTTTCTGCTCTGATACGTGGTCCAGATACCTACTTTTACTGATTAAAACAAGGAACCAAGGAATTTTTAAAAGTTTCCTTGTGCTCCATGGATCTGAATCTTTTTTCTGAGTTGGACCTTACTTCCTCACTAGGGGGGGCAGCTCAGCCTGTTCCTGGTCTTCCCGGACCTCCTGAGGTCCGGGTCTCTCTGATGATGGGTCCTGTCCCCAGAGGAGTCGCTCCCTTTGTCTGCACTGACATGCAGGTGGACGAACAGCACTTCAGGCAGATGGAGTGAATCACAATTTAGTGGCTCAAACCTAAAAAAGAGCTGAAATATTGTATCACTTTGTACATCTGCCAAACAAGCAATTTTTCCTATCTAGACTTACTGCCAAAGCAGAACAAGAAGTGGGTATCATATTCCACTTTCAATAGAGTCATCACAAGAGCAGGGCAGATTAGGCTTGTTTCCTCTTCTGGGGCGAGTGTATTCATACAATGTCGTGCTCCTTTCTTTCTAAATGTAGTATATATGCTCAGTCCTAGTTACTAGAAAATATCATCATCCTTTTGTAATAGCTGCTTGTAAGGAAGGATGGAGTATCATGACTGTGTTGCTGTTAGTGATAAAATGCAGTTCCTTACTTTCTATAGCAGTTTGCTTTACCAGGACGTTCAAGAACAACCTGGAAATTTGATTTTAGAATGTGCTGAGATTCTTGTAGTGTTACTAATGCTAGAAAGTACTTTAAGTTTCACAAATATTTCAAAACTACAGCATACAGGAATATTTGGAGAATGAGTTTTTGTAGTATAGTACTTCTATTTTAAAAGCTATCTAGCCTTTCATCGGATTATTCAGCTTTTCCTGGGAAGCTTACATAAGATTTTAAATCTTTCCTCCAGGTTCAGTCTCTTGACCTTGAGAGTTATTTATCTGTTTGTTGCCTTTTTTTTCTGTTTGTTTGCCTTATTTTGTTCAGCTATTATTCTCACCACCACCCTCCCATAATCTGCATTGTCATAATTTCACTGAGATAATGCTAGTGGCCTTTCAACTGAACTCTGCAGACTCTTTTGTAATCCCTTGATGGAGCTTTCTTACACACACACATGCATGTAGGTGAATATTTTCTTGTGGCAGTTATTCCTTGAAAATATGATGCATAATTCTTTTTTAGCTTGTTTAAAGCTCCTTTATAGAAATAAAAATGTGGACTCTTTGCTTGTATTTTTCTTTTTTGTGAAATTATAATGTGAAATTATGGTTAGGGAGTAGAATGGTCTTCAAAATCCTTCCTCTGTTTGTGGATTGGGGAAAAGGGAGTCAGATATTTGTGAACCTGGTAGCTGTTGAATTTTTCAGTGAATCAGTTCCACCATCTAACATCCTAAAATACTGAGAACCTTTTGGGTGACATCAAACTGTGCTAACCTGCATTAAAACCTTGAGCATAGCACATTGCAGAACAAGATTTGTAGTACAGCCACTTCATGCTTGCAGCTTCTTCTAGGTCTGCAAGGCAGACATGCTCCTTATTGTTGATGGGCATTTTGTTCCTTTGAACTCCTTTGACCTAATTTATGCAAGCAAATGAAATAAAAATGATAGAAGTAAGCAATTAAGTAGTTTTTTTACTTCTGTTCTCCTAAATGAGTTTCAATTGTGTGGTGTTTGAAGGTTCTGAGCTGATTCTAATAGTGCTTTTATCTATTGCATAAATAACATACAGACCTGTGGATATTTTACTGAAAGGAGAAGAAAATTGGTTTCCTCACCTGCAATCTTTTCCTCACACTGTGGACACTCACTGGTCTGGATCAATAGGCCGAAAAAATTCAGACTAGTCAATTTATAGTTGTCAAACCTCCCACTAAATATGGTAAATTGTGAAGGTTTCGGTTTTCTTCTGCTAATGTGTCTGCAGGTTTAGCTTTGTTGAGAGTGTTCTGGCATCAGATTCAGAGGTAGGGATCTGCAGCTATCTGCAGGAAGAAAAAGTCTGATATCAGGGATGAAAGGAAGTTTTAAAATAGGTTGTCTCCAATGCGGGAGTAAAAAATCTGATGTTGAAGTGATTGATGCCTTCTATATTTTGAAACATAAAAGTTGCTAGAATTATGCTATTTTTCTTCTACTATATTTTAATTTGAAAAGTGAAATCTTCAGACTCTCCTAGCCTCCTGTACTTTTAAAACAATTTTTGAAAGTACAACATGAGGAAAACAGTTGCTTACAAACTCTAAATTTGGTCTTGTTTTAGCCTGATCTGTTTATCTTCTTCCAAAAAGGAAATTATGGATTTTGACTCATACTCCTAGACATTTGTCATCATATTCTATCTGTCCTTTTTCTACTATTCATTAGCTGCAGTTTGGTCAATTTGGAAGTTATGTTTTTCTGCTAATAAATTCTGGCATAAACAGTTTGAGCAAACCCTTCCAAGCTCTGTCAACTCCAGGAGAAACTGTAGTACATAAGAGATGATCCAAAGTCTTGAGAAACAGAAAAATAAAATGCCATCTCTGTGAAGTAACACCAAACTAAAGTTGTTGTAATAGCCTGAACTTTGAAGTCCTTGAATTCGAATTTTATCTGTAATACTGGTATTGACCTGACAACAGTGATAAGTGAGGTTGCTTCAACAGTATTTTTTGCGTGATCTAGTTAAGATGCTCTGGCTGGTCCTTAGAGTGGGATTAGGTGCCTAAACCTAAGTGTCTTTTTATTTGAGTATCTGAGGACGGCCTGGGACATCCACACCGGACTCATGGACCTGACAGAGGACCTGCAGTTGGAGGTCAGGCAGGACACCTGAGTACATCCCAAATTATACTTGACATCTGTTTCTGGAACTGAATTCCCACTCATTAGGTTTGCTTCAATTTTTTTTTTTTCCTTTCTTCTTCTTTTTTTTTTTTTTTTGGGGGGGGGGGTGGAGTGGGGGTTGGGCATAAACAGGATTTAGTGAGGAGAAAAAGCATCAAAAGAAATAGGAGAAAGTTAATTGACCTTAAGATTATGATACCGGAAAACTGGAAAGGTAGTAGACCTCTCAACAATTCAAGGGAAGTGAAATGGGGAAAAAAAAAAAGTGGAGAGGGAATACAGAAAAGGGCTTTTTCCTAAACTAATTTTTAGTGGTGGTAGATACCAGGAGTCAACGGCTGTTGAATAAAGTTGAACATCTCAATTTAGGAAGGATAGCGTTAGGAGTATTGGTGGTTGATGAGATTGATTCAGATTTGATTGAGTCAGAATATTCAAAGGGATACTCATTCTAGCATGCATAAACTTTATTATGTTATGCAGAGGAACATACTTCCATAGAAAACGGTTTAAAAAAAAAAAACAGACACAATCCATTAATAGTTACAGTTGGATTTCCTCCAGTATATTAGAATAAACATAGGTGTTTCCATCTTTGCATCAAAATATCTGTTAACACCATTTTATCTTTTGATTTCTACATAATGATGAAACAGTAGGTGTTTCAGTGCGGCAATGACTAGTGTGTCAGGAAAGTCCTAGCTATGGTCTTGTGCTATAATCCAGCTCAGGAAAAATGAGAAATATCTCAGTTATATTTACTACCACCAGAGACCATGCAGCAGAAGAGGAAGGATCCTCTTCATGGAACAGATTGTGATAGTGAGTCAGATTTCACGCTTGCTTAAAGGCCACCATAGCAAGGGATGTAATTGTATTCCACCAAGAGGAAGCAAGACATGCTGAGAAAAATCTTGGTGTTTGAAAAGAAGTATTTTTTTTTTCTTTTTAAGAATTCTGGGATTCCTTCCAAACCCATGGTATTTCTATGGGGACTATAGATAAGCTGTTCTAAATAAGTTTTCATATTAATTATGTAGGTCTGATTTGTTGATATTAGTTATTTTATTTACAGACATTCTAGCAGAAACAAAAAGCAGCTTAAGTGAATTTGCTGAATCCTTATGATAGGACCGCAAGAGGATCCAGTAGCAACAGGGCAAGGGGAGAAGTGGCTGTTTTCTATCCCGCATAGATTCCTTCTCTGCCTACTCTTGGCTCATGCCTTCTGGCCACCAGATGAATCTGCAGCATCTCCTGCAGCTGTTGTGTCTCAATAAGTCCCTCTAGCAGCTGTGCAGCCTTGG